TAATCCTTACGACTGCTAATTTCAAGTCGGCGCGGCGCACGTCGAGGGGCGGAGAAAGGTGAGGAAAGGGAAATGAGAGCACACGGTGCGCGAAATCGCGCGGCACGAACCAAAACGAAGCAGTCGAGCACCCAAGTTTCCTCAGCACGAGGGTCGTGTTGAAAGAGGAAAGTTTTAACGGAATAACAGATGGAAAATCCAGGGAGAGTTGCGCTAAACAAAGGCAGAAATGTGCGAGAGTGCGATGCGCTTTCAGAGCGCGATCAGATGGATGGATGGATGGACGGATCGATTAACCACACGATACGATGTAAAAGTTTACTATGTACAGAAGAGCAAAGCGTAAAAAACAAGAGGAAACAATGAAACAGCTCAAACAGCAAAAATACAAAGGAATAATCGCAAATTTAATTAATTCCTAGAGTACTTTTGTATTATCTTTTCATACGTATCTAAAATTTGTACATATATAAAGATAATTGCGAATAGACTCACAAATATAAATATTTAATGAAAAAAGCTCTTTTTATTAATTATCTTCAGACAATGATTAAAAATAATCTTGAAACGATCGGTTGTACGAAAAAAACCGACATGTATGAAAGCAAAAGAAAATAATGCAGCAAGAAAATATGTTTTGTATTTTCATTTTACGTAGTGATTTTTTAAATATATATATTGAAATCTCGAGATAATGTAGTCAGTCTTGATGTAAAACGTTTAAATTGGGTATATACAAAATAGAAAGAAAGTGGAAAAATAATAGGTAGAAAGAAGTAGGAAAAAATATGCCGGTTTTTAGAAAGAGAAACGAGGCCTCCTCTAGCGCGATCGTAAAAATACCTGGAAAATAATATCGATATTTGCATCGAAGGCATGTTTGTTTCGCTCGGTCGAAGCTGAGCTGCGACGTAATACGGTAAAGAGATAATTTTATCTTCAAAACGCGTCGCCCGTGTGCGCGCGCGGACGCGTCATAGTCTTTTTTACACAACGATGGGAGCAAAAAGGAGGAAGGGTGTAAACAAGGGAGGCTCACGAAGAACTTGCCGACGTGGACGCGATCGAGCGTACGACCGATCGATCCGCAGGATGAAGCCTGGCGATTGAACTCGCCGGGCGTGAAACGCCTCTGTGAAGAGGCCTCTTTTACAGATCCTAGAGATCGCCGGTAACATTTTTTTTTTTTTATAGAATATTTTTCCCTCTAATGAAAAAAGAGGGAAGAGGGAAAAAAAACCCCGCGATCCGCTGCCCCCTTTTGCCTCTATTTGCCCATCGGTAGCCTTTTATTATCGAGGCTCCGTCTCGAAAAGGGACTCATCCGGCCGTTCGTTGATCCGATTTGCCGCGCCCCGGATGGCGCGTGGCGCATTATTTATTTATTATTAGATAGAACGCACACCCCTACCGCCTACCGCGCTTGTAGGCGTCCATCGAGGCCACAGCCGACGACAGCGACGGGTCGCTATCTGCGATAGATCGAACGGGCAGGAAAAATGACCACGTTCCCTGTAGCAGCCATGGAAATATGTATTAAATTGGCATTAATCCTGCGAGGCATGCGAGTCACGTGCCGGCCAACCTGCTTCCACAGGCTCCCTAATGAGCGTTCTCCCTTCGGGGGAACAAAGATCCGGCGCCGTACTTCTTACAATACCACTCTGTAATTTGTCGCAGATGTTCGATTCCCTCAGAACTTTTTGTTTCCCCGATGTTCCTCTTCGCGCGCACAGAAATTTGCCGAGGACTCTTTTATTCGGCACTTTTCCTACTTCAAATATTAGATGTATGGTAACCTATTAAATTTCTTACGAAATTACATCAATTTCTGTAATTGTGATCTCGGATCTCCTTTAAAAAGAAACCCTGAGTATTTCTTTTTACTCGGTATTAATTCGTATAAACATACATTTCAAGATTATTCTCAATCGTTATAGATGTACAAAATTTTGTTTTGTTAAACATTTACAATTGTAATTCAGCTTGCAATATTATTTTGTGACTATCTTCATATGCGCAAAATTTAATATAAATCAAAACTACAAATCGATTCGTATTTTATTTATTTATTTTTTTACAAAAATATACATATAGATTTTAGTAGTTAATAAATGAATTCTTTCTAAACTATCGGTAAATATATCTTTTTTTTTAATGTAATAATGAATAAAACGTTTCCCTCGACTCTTTATAAAGTTTTTATGACGACAAAGGTTCATAACATTAATGAAAGATTATGAACAGGAACTATATTAGCAAGGAGTATAATGTTTGCGAGATGCAAATGCTTTGACATTTTGCAGTTTTCCTCTTGGTCATTATTTAATTTCGAACTTGACAGCTTTCGCTGAAGTTTCGCTGTGAAGTTTCTTCGGAAAAAACATACAATTGTTATCGGAAACTAACTGATTACTCCTTTCTCATACTATACAGGCTGCGACAAAATTGTTGACTGTAAAATAACTGATTTTATTTTTAAATGTGCTGCAGATTCACTTACACAAGGAGGCTGAATCGTGGGGTATGTGTCTATCAAGCGGCTCGTGTACGGGTGCAATTGGGATGTTAATAAACAACGACGTCGACTTCGCGGCGACGGAGTTCATGATGACCTCGGATAGATTAGATGCCATCAGTTTTACTACGCCCATTTACACGACCAAGTAGTATACTTCTTATTCACAAATTCTGAACGACGAGACATCTAAGTCTAACAGAACGACATTTTAGCGACAAGTTTGAGACGTCCAATGCCTAAGTTTAAAATACTCTGTATCTAACAAGTACCAGTGCGCGAATTAAAATTTGTGCAAAATTAATAGGATTTAAGGGAAACGTATTAAATTTTACTGTCTAGACGTTAGATCTTGTCGAGTCCATTAAAAACTAATATACTTATGAATTTACGAACCGAATACCGTAACTGAAATTTATTATTTACGTTCCCTTTGTTTTAAGATGTCGTGCGTATATTAAAAGGCCTGCTACGTCTGACCTAAAATGGGATGCTTACACGGGCACCATTCTCCGCGAACATCTGGGGCAGCATCGGTTTTTTCATCGTACTTACAAGCGGATTGATCGTGTTCATTCAGAGACTATTTGCATTCGCGTCCCCGTATCTTAAAAATGACGACCGTTCGAGATTTACAGAAAATTTGTTTTTCGTCCTAGGAGCGTTTTGCAGTCAAGGTAACTTCGACTTCTACGAATGATTCCCTTCCCCCCCTTCCCTCGAGTATTGCGCTTCTCTTGTAGTTCAGTATAATTTTTGTCAAATATACGACTGCTCTCTATCTTTCTCATGAAAAATGGTATCATCAGGTACGGCACAATCAACGCTGGATCCCGTGAGAATGGTGCATTTCGTAATTCACCTTTCGGCCGTCGCGTGATATTAGCCGCGTATTCCGCTGCCTTAATTAGTTTCCTTGCTGTTAAAACGTTTATCATGCCCTTCACGACAATGGACGGTCTTCTGAAAGATGGGACCTATCGTTCGTTTCGGCGTGGTCCGTGATTCGCCCGACTACAGTTTCTTCAAGGTGCCTAAAATAATCCTCAGATTATCTTTGCTGTAAAATCTCAGGGAGGAAGCATATTGTATATTTGAAGTAAAATGCCTAATTTATAATTAATTAAATATATCTTCTATTAATATAAAGATATAAATTATGTACTTTAATTTATACGTTCTTATTTTGATTCTTTTTTTAAAACAAGCTATAGTATCTTTTTTATTCATTTTTCATAAAAATCATATTTACGGAAAGCTTTACGTACGATACTCTATATTTGTGATGATTTTATTACGACAGAATACATCAGATAAAATAATAAGTGTAATAAAATAATAAGTGTTCGATGAATTATTAATGAAAGAGACTGATTTGCCGAGTAATTACTTGGACGGCCTGAAACACGTTTGCAAGGAGGACAAATACGCTTTTATGACACTAGATAATATGGCAGCATTGTTGCAACGGTAAGTCGATTGCAAATTGGAACCATTGGATGTTATCACGCAGACCACCATAGCGATGGCTCTGCAACCAAATAGCCCGTACCGTGATATCATTAACGCAAAGTACGTGCGAACTTTATTAACGCAAATTAAGATGATTGAGTGTTGTTCTGATAAAAAATTTCCATTTTATTTGTTGCAGTATTCTTCTGCTAAGGGATAGCGGGATGCTGCAGCGTTTGCTGGAAACACAATGGTCGGTCCAGCTAAGTGAAGGGAGTGTACGTGCGCTCGTAAATTTCGCGAATTATCGATCAACAGGCAGAGATTGATACGTTTGTCTCTGATTACAGGTGAAATCATCATGGAAATCGGTCGAGATCGGCGACATAATACCTCTGTTGCTCCTCATAATCGCCGCGTTGCTCATTAGCTTTTTTGTCTGCGCTATGAAGCGCGTTATCTTCAACAATTTTTCCAAACGAGTCAAGCTAAGAATGAATAACCCACAACTGAATATGTTACATCGTTAGATTGTTATATTTTGTTTAATAAAATTTGACAAACATACAGTCGTCTAAAACTATAATGTTTCTACATCTTTTATATTTTTCCGATTTAAATCAAAGTAACTCAAAGTAAATAATGTTCCCTCCGAATTATTCTTTCGAATTTCAAATTCTTCGTCTCGTGTTTATGATTTTACATAGCTTTGTTTACATCAGTAGGACGAACGGTATTTTGCGGTCAGGGCAAACACTCGTAGGCTCTAGGATTTGCTGATTTCTCTGGCAGTCTCGTTCGAGAGTTGCCATCGACAACAAGTTAAAATCGCGGTTTGTGTCAAAGTGTTTCCACCGATCTGTGACTTTTCAGTTCTTGTCATCAAATTAATAATTGAAGTACTTGATGTAATATTATATTAAAGATATGAGAGAAATATATTCTAATATATATTCAATATGTATATTTATTCAATTTATACATATTGAATATATTATAAATTAAACATGATAATAAAATATTAATTGTTATTATAGTACATATTAGAAATATTATATTCAATTGTTCTTAATCGATGACAAATTAGCTTACATACATTTCTGGAAGTTAAATCATGTCGGGAAGGACCCCTCTGTCGGATCGCAAAGCCTTGAAATATGGCATTAATAAGGAAAATGTGCCGCATTCAACGGTACAAAATGGCAAATCTACCGAAGGCAGGAATGACGGTGGCGGCGCAAAGAAAAAAGGCCTATCGCTCAGAAGATCGCAGAGAATCGCAGAAAAACGTGCCGTTCGTACAATGTTAGTGCAAGGCTGTTCTTCCGTCTCCGGCGAGGCAAAATTTCGGATTTGCTCCGACGACAATGAAGAAAACGTACGATCACGCCCGCGCGTGAAAAAAAACGTACGCATAAAAAAAGAGATTAGAGCGAGGCAAGATAAAACGCTCGAGAAAGCAATCGAATCGACAACGAAAGCAGATACTTCTTCACGTCCACGCGTCGTGTTACGCAGGTAAGGAGAACACAAAATAAAGAACGTTAGAATAGCTAACGTTAGAAGAGCTAATGCAAAGGAACAAATTTTTATTATTCTACAGAGCACGTTCTTCAAGCAACTCTCGCCAAATAGTTCCTTTGAATGAGACCGAGATGAATAACCAATTATTTCATAGGAGGTAATTCCTATACGTATGATTAAACCACATTTTAAGAAATTTCTCTATGTACAAAAAGTATGATATAATTTATCTGTATATTACTTAGTTTAAAATACAGAATAAAAGAAAAATGTGGCATGGATAAATTGTTCAGATTTTACTTTCAAAATTGTAACAGATATTAGGGAGGATATTCGAGTTTTGCTATGCCATTACATTTGACCTCATCTAATGTTTACTTTTATGTCTGTTATAAAACAAAATGTCATGGTTTTTGTAAATTTCCTATATTCTTTTCTTTTCAATTTCTCTCTTAATTCAAATAAATAAAACGCAAATAACGTACGTAACGTTTTTTCTATATTTACCGTGACATTAATAAATTAATAAATTATATTTTATTTAGAGCTTATTCTGAAACCAGAAAGTCGCGATACCCGCCCTGCGTCGCACAATCATCCGATGATCAAAAAATGAAGCATCTTACAGACGATGTTAAAAAACGAACGTTTTCAAGCATTCAAATGTGGAAGGATAAAATGAAGCCACCAAGTTAGTACTTTAAGATAGTATAATGAAGACCCAAAGAGAGTTGTATGCGCAAGCATGAATTAAAAA